CGTTGATGGAGGCGCTTCGCGATGGGGTGGGGGTCCTCCAGGATCGGGGGGTGGGCGCGTGTGTGTTTTTCGCGCAGGGTGGGGGGCTGCCGGCGGGCATGGCTGTCGCCCGCCGCTTGTTGGGTGCGGGGCTCGCCCACAAGGCCCCATCTACCACCGATGATTCCTCCCTCGCGGCGGCGAATCCGGCGGATCATCGGCGATTGGTGCCATTTCACACCACGCTGCTTATTCAACTTCTCCATCTTCTCACTGCGGTCTGGGAGAATTCCGAAATTTCGGCCCAAACGGTCGAAACAGAGGTGGTCCAGGATTTTGTTGGGTCTTTGATAGGGTTTCTTCTGGGTGAGCTGCAGGACTTCAGGGCTTGTGAGCCCACCAACGAAAACGCTGACCCCTTTTGTTTAACGCCGGAGCGGGTGAATTTGTTTGATGCCATGCTTCAATGTCTAAAAGCTCTCACCCTTCGCTATTTTGCTCTCGTGCAGGATGCGGTGGAGGACGTGGGTGAGATTTTTGGGGACGGTTTACTCCCCGCCTTGTGGAGTTCCCTTCAGTTTCAAACTTCCATCGAAAGTGGACAGGGGTGGGCGACGCTTTATTACTTTATGGGCTGGCTCGACAGCCTTTTGAGGGAGGGCGGCTCACTTGCTTCGCGGATGGCGTCCATGACGTCGGAAAAAGGCCTTTGGTATCAATTATATGGTGTTTCTCTTAATATGGTCTCAAAGGAATATGAAAAGGTGGGCGGTGTGGTTTTTGGGGCGGTCGAATGGACCTTTCGCGCGGCTTCTACATCCCAGGGGCGGGGTTTACCGGCTTCGATAAAACCTCTTCTTCTGTCCGCCGCGGCGGAGCTCGCCCTACATCTGACCTCGGCGGCATCCCAACTCAAATCCCCAACCCGCGAGGGGGAAACCTTCCAAAAGGTCCTTCCCGCCCTCTCCTCCGCGCGCTTTACGGCCTTTTTTCAGGACGGCTTTCAGTCCGCCTTTTCCCGCACGCCCCTTTCGACGGCGGACGCGCGCCTGCTCGAGGCGCTCTATGCCGTGGTGTACAATCTAATCCTCTACCAGGACGATCGCCGGGCCTACGTTCGGGGGTGGTTGGACTTGGCCAATTCGCAGCCCCGCGCCCCCGCCTTGACGGCCTGGGCCCTCGATTATTTTCTTTCGCGGGAAGTCGATCCCGCCTCGGGCCTGACCCCTCTCGGGGCGAAGGCGTTGGGGGTGCTCGCGAAGTGTTGGATCTACGGCGAGGCCGCCTTTCACTCGGATCTCCCCTCCCGGCAGGGGCTTCGCGGGGGGTTATGGCGGTGGGTGGCGGCCGCCGTGGGGGCGTTGGAAGGCCCCGACGCGCCCGACGAGGGCCCTCCGGAGGCCCCAACCCTCGCCTGGGAGTATTTGGAGCACCTCACGACGAGTTTGGCCTTTTTACAAAAGCACATGGTGGTGGTGGAGGGGGGGGAGGAGGTTGGTTGGTTGGTGCGGCTTATTTCGTTCGCCCCTTTACGCCTCGTGGAGGCTGCCGTTCAGGCGATGGGAGGGGGGAGCGCGACGCCGACCGCCGAACTTTACAAGGAGACCTCAACTTTTTCCGTGGCCGCTGTCGTGGCGGCGGGGAATGCCGCACTTTTGCTTTCCACGATGGCTTCTCCTTCCCTTTCCTCATCCGACGGGATGGGGGAGGTTTTCTGCAAAGTAAAGGCGATTGATGTGCTCCTGCAGGGACTTCGCGATGCGCACCACTCGACCCACCTCGTGGATCGCGAAATAGCGGACATGAAAACGCATAACACGAGCTCGACGAGTGAACGTTTGTATTTGCAGCGTTGGGGCGAGTATTTGAGGTCGACCACGAAGAACTTGGCGATTTCGATTTCCAGAGTTTGCGTCGTCGGTGGGGAGCCTGTCAAGGACCGACTTCGCGAATTAAAGGGCTTCGAAACGTTGTTGGCGGTTCAAAAATAACCCGGCAAGCGATTTGATCCTATGAGTGGACTCTGTTCGCTTTATTATTATTATTATTATTATTATTTCCATTTCTTCCGTGCGCGTTTGCTCTTAAAGATTCCAACGGCACAAAAACTTCAAACAATGGGGTACAATCTGACGTCGCGGTATGTTCCCTAGTCTGCGTACCCTCGTGTACTATCAGGTGTTTTTTTTTTGTTTGCTGTCCTTTCTCACGGACGACGATTTGCTCGTCCTGGGGAGTTTCCCCAATTGATTTACCGTACCTATTTCCTCATTAACCTCGATGTATGATAGTTATTAAACCCAATAGATGCAATCTTCCGCCCTAATATTATCACCTCACGATCTCGAAAGTCGATTTGCTTTACTCCCTCCTTTTGACTTTGGCTTTGTCCCTCTGGGTTTGAGATCTTTTCTTTTATGCGGAGAATCTGTAGTGCCCTAATGTGAGAAACCTATCCAACACCTTAGGGCACTGGTGTTTTATGTTCAACATTATGGTTTTACTCATTGCCATATGGATTCATTGTGTACTATCTATTGGCGTTTCTTTTTCGTTCCTCTTCAAATTTTTCTCCCCCCTCCCCCTCATTCCCCGTTATTGCATATCCTTACTAAATAAGCCCAAACGAATAATCGGCGATTGAACTACACGCGATTGCGAATCGACCACCTTTTTCGATTTCTATCCACATCCCCTCCCCTCTTTTTCTTCTTTTATTGATCTTCGCATCGAATGGCGGAGGAACTGAAGGGCAGCGGCGGTGATTTTTGCGTTCGTCGGGCCGTCCTCGCCGATTGCCCCGCGATGCTCGGGCTCGTGAAGGAGCTCGCGAACTACGAAAAGGCGCTCGACCGCGTGTCGATTTCGCTGGCGGAGATGGAGGCGTGTGGCTTCGGCCCCCATCCCCTGTGGGGCGCCTTTGTAGTTGAGTTAACCCCCCCCCAATCGCCGACGGGGGAGGCCCAAGACCCCATTATTGTAGGGATGGCGCTTTATTATGATCGCTATTCCACGTGGAGGGGGCGGTTATTATATTTGGAGGACTTTATGGTCTCCAAGGCCTATCGCGGGGATGGCATCGGGCATCAGCTCTTTACAGCCGTCCTAGAACACGCCAAGGCGAAGAAGTACCACGGGATGACATGGCAGGTTTTGGATTGGAATGAGCCGGCGCTAAATTTCTACCGCAATCATCACGCCGAGCTTGACGCCGAGTGGATTAATGGCAGTATTTATTTCTAATATGGAATCCCATAATTGACAATGGATAGTGGAATGGGTTTCTAAGTGTGTTTTTTTCCCCAGTTAACCATTTAATTTTATGCTTCTGTTTTTTTGAATTTAGCTTGCTGTATACATATGTGTTTCGGCTTGCAATTATAAAATTTTTTTACCAGTGATATTTTTATCTTGATTCTAGTTTTTTGTAGAATAATTTCAGTTGAGGTCGTATAATTTCTGCAATCTTCATTCACCTCAAGTTAGCATAATTCCTTACGTATCTGAATCTAAGTGTACCAACAATAGTAAAAAAAAAGTGTTAACCTTCACCTTCTCCTCCACCTTCCTATTCTAAATTCCCAATTTATGATGCGGATGAAATCCGTATGCTGAAACACGACTCGTTTTGTCAAAACTCCGCTATATTTTCTACTTGGTGTACAATAAAGCTTCCATAGAGGTATTTTCAAATACGCTATCGTCCTTTCCACATCCTTCGCATTCTATTTTCACCACGTTTCAACT